ATAGAGATACCACAGTGGAAGTGGGAGATGATTAATATGGATTTCGTAGTAGGTCTACCTCGCACATACCGTAAACATGATTCAATTTGGGTTATTGTAGACCGACTGACAAAGTCCGCACATTTCCTACCAGTAAAGACGATAGATTCTGCAGAGCAATATGCGCAGTTGTACATCAAAGAAATAGTCCGATTGCATGGTACTCTAGTTTCAATCATATCGGACAGAGGCCCTCAGTTCACAACGCATTTTTGGCAGGCATTTCAGAAAAGATTAGGTACCAAGGTCAATTTAAGCACCGCTTTTCATCCACAGACTGATGGCCAGGCAGAAAGGACCATTCAGACTCACGAAGATATGTTGCGTGCATGTGTTATAGATTTTGGAGGTAATTGGGATGATCACTTGCCACTTATAGAATTTGCTTACAATAATAGCTATCAGGCCAACATTGGTATGGCTCCTTATGAAGCGTTGTATGGGCGGAGATGTAGGTCTCCGGTGGGTTGGTTTGAACCAGCAGAGGTGTCGTTGATTGGTCCAGAGTTTGTTTGTGAGGCCTTGGAGAAAGTTCAGCTAATTAGAGAAAGACTTAAAGCGGCTCAGAGTCGTCAAAAGTCTTATTCTGACAAGAGGCATCGTGAGTTAGAGTTCATGGTTGGTGATAAGGTGTTTTTGAAAGTTTCACCAATGAAAGGAGTTATGAGGTTTGGTAAGAAAGGGAAACTTAGCCCTAGATTTATCGGACCTTATGAAATTCTAGAAAAGAAAGGAAACGTGGCTTATAAGCTAGCGCTACCCATTGAGTTGTCCTCTGTTCATCTTGTCTTTCATGTGTCTATGCTTAGAAAGTACATCCATGATGAGTCGCATATAATACCTGTCGATACCATAGAAATTAAGGAAGGCCTGACTTATGAAGAGGTACCTATAGAAATTCTCGATAGGCAAGTAAGAAAGTTAAGAACAAAAGAATTAGCATCGGTAAAAGTTTTGTGGAGTAATCATGATTCAAAAGAAGCTACGTGGGAGGTCGAGGAAGATATGAGGAAGAAGTATCCTTATTTATTTGAGTAACAAGGTATGTGAACCTAGGTTTAACTTGACATTTATATTTCGTGTATTAAATACAAGTTAGCAAGTGTTTATGTTCTTCCTAGATTATATTTAGTTGTTGTAGTGATTTAGTTTACGCTATAGTATATTTAATTCATTAAAGTGATTTACTTGTGCTAAAGTTGTTGTGCTTTAGATTCTTGTTAGTTATTGTGGTACCTCCTTGCCGGAGTGTGAGTAATTGATTTATGAGTTGTGTATGGTGCCTATGAATAGCCTGTTATGGTATATTTGGTTGTTGTTGGTGTATTTGTGGTGTTTGTGACAGGGATATTTTTTTGGATAGTCCAATTTACAAGGAAAACTATGCCGAAATTTTTAAAAATTTAGGGAGTTAGCCAAAATTTTGAGCCTTTGGAAGAATGAGTAGTGCTAAGAGGACCTAAGGAATAATTGTTAGCTTAAGGATAAGGCCCTAGCAACATTCGAGGACGAATGTTTTTAAGGAGGGAAGATTGTAACACTCCTCAAATTTATAAAAGTTTCGAGACACGCTAATTATAGAACTAAATTATTATTATTATTTTATTTTTCTTGCCTATAGTGAAAAAAATATTATATATATATTTAAATAATTGAATATACAATTAGGGAATATTAATTTATTAATATTACTAATTAGTAAGAATAAGTATATTAATTACTCACTAAATTAAAAAGAAAAGAAAAAAAAAGAGAAGGAAAATACTAAAGCCCATAAGGCAAAGCCTTAAACAAAACTGAAGAAAGAAAAAAAAAAGCATGAAGGCTAAAAAGCCTCACCAGAACAAAAAGGTCTAAAACGTGCATTCAGCAGAAGGATTAGAAGTGTTACACGATAAACTGAAACAGAGCACTACGAAACAGAGGCAGCGACTCAGTCAACGAAGAAAAAAAAATTAGGGTTCTTTACAAATCACTTATTCGTGAATTCAGGTATATAAAATTTTCTATTGTCAACTATCCTAAGTAGTAATAGGTAAGAATTGAATAGTTAATTCTCTTCTTTTTTTATATCAACAGTAAAGTTCCGTGTTTAGGTGCAAAACTTTAAAATTAATTAAAATACACTGATTGTTATAGAAACGATTGTTTGACGGGTGTCAATTGGATTGGGGCCTACGTATTCGCTCGAGAAGTTTTGAGGTGAGTTTATATAACTCTTTACTAAAGTGGTTTAACTCCCAAAAGCACGCATACAAGGTGTTTGATGAATTGATTAAAAGAATTTATATTTACTTAACTGGAGTGGGTGAGTACCTATTAGCTTAGAATTATTTTAGTGCATAAATTGTATACATCAGAAGATTCTACGATACTTAGTTACTCCAATGAACATGCATGTCCTATAGATAAATACCATGTCTTTGGCGTATTTTCTTGTAATGAAGAACTCTTGAATGAATGCAATTGGGTGGCAGTACTTCTTGCAACATCTACCAATAAATTAATATAAATATTGCAAAAATTAGGAATTCCCAAAAGCTTGTACTTTGATTCATTATTTGAAGGTGTAGAGTTGTTACGTTGCTGCGTGCGTGTTGTGGAGACAGTAAATTCTCATATTTTTGTGTAATTTTTATAGGCCATTCTCATATGGAAAAAAAAGGAAGAAAAATTCATGAAGAAGCAAGAATCTTTAGAAATACTTTTGAATGTTTATTTCATTCTTATGCCATACCTTACGTTTAAGGATTCCAAAATGAGTATGTTTGAAAGATTTAGATTTGAAAAGTCACAAGAAGAAGTTTTAGAAAGAAAAGATTTTTGGGAGTATCCTTTATTCTGAGAAGGGGTCATCGTCCAGGCTAAGGGTCCTGACCAAGGCGCTGACTTCCTGAAACTATTTGTGCCAAAGTAGGGAGCATACGAGCCGAGGGTCTCGTTGCTGAGAATTTACTTAGTCATGCTAAGGTATGATACATGAGCGCTGAGAACCATGAAGCGAGTGGCACCTCGTGGATTGGGCCTATTCGATCAGGTTGGGATCGAACCCGTGCCGATCACACGGTGACTGAGACAGAATTAAGTCAGGATAGTTGGAACTCCCAAAGTATAAAGTGAAGTATTTTTTTTAAAGAAAGAAAAAGAAAAGAATTTCTTTTAGAATATTCATAAATTGCTATTATGCAATTATTTTAGAATTATTCTTATAAGCTTTATGTTTTACATGCATTTAGAACCTTTGCTCGTAATGTATATGTTATTAAAGTTTCTCCCCCTGTTGTTGAGACTCACTGAGTACAGTGGATGGTACTGACGTTCTCTTTTGGGAACCTACGTTGGTCTGCGGTACAACGTAGGAACCGGATTTGCAGGCGAGCAGGCTACGAGTTAGGATTTCCTTCCCTTTCAGTGCTATTGGTGAGCTCCGCTTTTGTTCGTGGAGTATTCCTTAGAGTCATCTTTATTTAGTTATTTTTTTGTTTACTTAGAGAACTGTCCAGGAAATTTCATGTCCCGAGCAGTGCGTCAGTTTATCAGTAGAGGCTTCATAGACATAGTCATTGGGTTGAGATTCAGATGTTATTTTATAATAACTTAGCAGTAATTCAGTAGTTACTACTAATAAAGCTTTGGAGTTGATTTATTTAAATATTTGAATTAATCAAAAGTATTTGGTTAGAATATTGCTTTGTTGCATATAAAGTTTGGAGTTATAATAGGTTTGATAAGCAGAGATGGTTCGCTCGGTCATGTTTAGTGATCGAGTGCCGGTCTCGACTTGTTCAGAAAATGGGTTGTGACATTAGCCTGCCCCGGTAACTCATAGGGAGATTTGGCAGCACCATCCACAGGAGAATTTCAGTCAGAAATTATTTCTTTAAATCAAAGTTCACAGTCCAAGACATCAGGATCATAGGCTTGTAATTAATCGTGTAGGACCTGAGTACAGAACTTCATGCATGTCACTGGTGGACTGAAACTTGATCACATAGTAGCCTTTATCATAGTAAAAAATCTCAGGCTATGCCACCTTATTACAAACTTATGCATGTAGTTATACCCCGGTATTTCCCCAATAACATGAACAATCAGAGCACATCTCTGTTTCTAGATTTTCTTATCGACATCTTCCATTTCAAGTTGGAGAACGACTTTCCCTTCTACAATTGCTGGAGGTATGTAAGAAAATTTTAATCCATTCTCAGAACTATGATTACCTGCAAATAGGGAGTTCCATGCAGTTGTATTCCCCTTCTTCTCAATTATTGGTTCCTGATCTGTTGTAGCCTTGCTTATACTCACTAGATCTATCAATTTCACAGTTGAATTGCCCTTCAGCCCGCTTAGAGATGGACTTATACTCAGATCCAGTCTCTTAGCAGTTTCCTGTACATTCAAGTCAACTTGTTTTTTACTTCTGCATTGCATCAATTAATGGAACATGAGTAATCACCAAGTCAGCCATTGGAGCTTTATCCGGTTGCATGGGAGCTTCTGTTGCTTTACCAATAACAGCTAAAGGTTGCAACCTACGTCGTCCGCTAGTTCGTGCTGGTCCCCGAGCCATGAATCTACGGTGAGCGTACGTTTAACTAACGTGCGCTGAGGGCATGGGAGCTAGAGAGAGAAAGCGGCCGTCGTTTGAAACAATGAGTGAATTAAGTACATGAAATCACTGTTGTTCAATAAGTTCAACAGTAAACTTGTGTGTTTGATAGCCCGTTTGGACAAGCTGGAAAAATTAGCTTATTTTGAGAAGTGCTTTTTTTCAGAAGTACTTTTCTGAGAAGTACTTTTGTAGAGAAGCAGTTTGTGTTTGGCTAATCAATTTGAAAAGCACTTTTGAGCAATAATTTGTGTTTGGTCAAGCTTTTCAAAAAGTGTTTTTAAGTGACAAATTACAAATAAGGACATGAATAGATTTGCTTAAGAGTGAATATTATATAAGTAGATAAATAATCATAAAGATTTATTACCAAGATAACAATTAAGTTTTTAAATTTAATTTAAGTAAATATGGAAAAATAATAATTAAAAAGTACTTTATTCTTTCAAGATGATTTAAATATTTCAATAATCATTTAACAAATATAAAAGTATTCACCCCAACAAAAATCACAAACATAATAGAAAATTATCCTAAAAATAAGAAGAAACACTTATACATTAGGAGAGTTCTCAATAATATCATCTCTAATTCTATTACGTAATAACTCCATAACATTAGAAGACATTCCTTGCATTTCTGAGTGAATGTCTGATTGCCCATCTTCTTCTTCAAGCTCTGGCATATTATCTTCATTTGCATAATGGTCAAACTCAACATCGGTGGAAGAGTTTCTTCGTATAAAATTATGTATAGTCATAGTAGATCTAACAAGATGAACCTGAGTGTCAAACTTGAAAGATGACATTGAACGTAAAATAGAAAATCTATTTTTCCAAACTCCAAATGTTCGTTCAATTGTACATCTCAAGCTAGAATGGAAAAAATTGAAAACCTCATTCGGATTTCTGAAACTTGAGTTACGTCCAAAATCAGGGAGATGATAACGTTCGCCCTTATATGGTCCTAAGTAGCCCAACATTGTTGGATATCCTGAATCAACTAAATAATATTTACCTAATTCAAGTAAGAAAAATATTAGTAATGAATTGATATGAAAAATAATATCAATAGCATGGGAATTTACAAGACATAATTTTAGGGTCACTTACCTGCTGGAGGATGGGGAAAATTAAGATTTTGTCTTCTAAGTGCTTGATCAAATATTCTAGCATCATGTGCGGTACCTTCCCACCCTGGCCATACAAAAGTGAAGCACATGTCCCAATCACATACTACCATTACGTTTTGTGAAGTGAAACCTTTCCTATCGATATACTTTATTTGATCCTTAGAAGGAACAATACAAGGTACATGTGTGCCATCTATAGCTCCAATACAAATTTTAAAATATGGTCAGTACCAATTATCTTCTCTTAATTTAGTGTGAACATCAGAAAGAGCTGGATCTTTTGGTTTAATGATGTCCATAGCCTATTTCAAACATGCTAGTAAAACTTGATAAAAATATCTGCTAACTGTCTCCCCAAAGAGTTGGAATCGTTCTTGAATCATTCGATTCCCTACCCCATGTCCTACCATCATTAGGAACATAACAACCATCTCCTCTACGGTTATGTTTCTTGTTGGTTCTAAGCCATACTGTTCATTTAACGTTTTGCAGAATAGAAGAAAAATATGTTTTTCCATTCTAAACATCTCATAACAACGCTTATCATGCCCTTCAAGCATCTCTTTAACAAAATAAAAACCTGTATGAAGAGAAGTTCTGCATGGAGTCTTTAAACAAAATCTTAAGTAATACTCTGCTGCAAGAGTTACACCGCTAATTGCCAAATCAAAAACATTATCAATATCATCACAAATTATAAGAACTTCTTCATCAACATCGTCATTATTATGTTTATTCAATGACATCTATAAGAAAAAATAAAAACAAACATTACTTATCTAATAAGAACTTCATTTCCAAACAAACATTACATAATTAATAACAACTTATATACATGAAATGTTTAGCAGGCATTCTTTTACATGAAATGCTGTATGGTTACACACCATTCAGGGGAAAGACAAGGCAAAAGACATTCTCAAATATATTACACAAGGATTTGAAATTCCCAAGAAGCATACAGGTATGATCTTTCAATCTAACGAATCAAATGCCTCAACGATAAGTAGAGACATTTCCTTTTGTGGGAGCGCCTTTTTTTCTTTCTGCCAATAACTAAAGCTGTCTATTTCTTTTCTCCTTTTCCAGGTTAGTCTCCGAGGAAAGCAGTTCATGTATATATTGTTACATAGAGATCCCAAAAACAGGTTAGGATAATCAAAATATGCACAAAAAATAATTACAAAAACTAAAACATCTTATATCTCTAGTCTTTGTGTAGTTCGAACATCTTTTCTAACCATAGCAATTGCAACTCTGGGTCTTCTTGTGCTAAAAACATTTCTCTCATTGATTGCTTGACTAGTAACATACTCGCTTTCCACCATAAATCACTACCAATAATCATACCAGGTAAATTACGAACAACATCCATAACACTCTTAATACTGAGTGGAGTGTCTTTTGACCCCACAATAATTGCAGAACGCAATTCCACAGCTTCTGCAATTCTCTCAATTGATGATGTGATCCTTAAACTAGTACTGACTTTACTTTTTTCCTTTTCAGTTGTAATTGATGATGCCTTCCTTTTTTTAGTTTTATCACCACTCTCATTTGTCTCTCTTTTTTCAGTTACTTCTGGTTCTTCCAAGTTAATATGATCCAATCCTTCTCCTGTATTACTTCTTAAGTCATCCTCCATAATAAGCTCCTCATTACTTGTTGGAGTTTCAAACTCAAATTGTTTCTCAGGTTGAAACCAATTACTTCCATGTATGTTATCGGGTAAAACTCCAGATGATGGCGCCCATGCATGTTCGCCAGTGGCAACAACATCTTTAAAACAAATTTCCATCAACTCTCGACATTGTAAACCTTTATCTCTGAATTTCTCTACATTTGGGCTCTCCTATATTCATGGAAGAACAATTTAAAATATATTAGTGTTCGAAACAAAATAATAATTCATTATGTTTAAGTGAAAATATATTTAAGAATTCTTAATACCTTTATTTTCCTACTCCACCATTCAACACTCGCTTGAACCATCTTTTTCTCGCAGTCCCATCCTAAGCCAGTCTCCTTTCCAACTAAAGTATCCCAATCTTTCCAAATAAGTTTCAAACTATCCCATTTGTTCTTCAGTTTGGTCTTATCATAGTTTTTTCCAGTCTTGTCATTAAATTTTTGCTCCAAGTTAGACCACCCTATTCTGCTAAAATGAGTGCCAGGACGATTTCCAGCAGTAATTTCTTCCACACATAAATTTAAAAACAATTCTGTTATTTTTGCATCCCATTTAGCCTTTTCGCTATTGTTATCTTGTGTCACTTTCTTGCTCATTATCTTGTAAGTATGCATTGAAAAACATGTAATGAATAAGTAAAAGAAGGAATCATGACAATGTTTTCTATTCTTCAAGCCAAAAGCAGCAGCAAACATTTAATAGTGCTATTTTATCATGACATTAGAGATCACTGTCATATGAAGAGTTTGTTTATCATGAAAGTTTGCCTACTGTTGAGTTTATAAGCACTTGCCATTGACTTAGCATTTACATACAATTGCTATATTAAGTAGTAAGTATATTCATATAATTTTCCTTATAAAGTTTATAGAAAAGATTTATTACACATTGAAATTTTAAAAGAAGGAAAACACTAAAACAGAGGCTTCTATACAACTCGGTATCTTTTGAAAAAATAAAGTATGAAATCAATTTTCTTCCTGCTATAGGTGGTTTATTTGGGACTATTAAATTTCAGAATTTTACAAGGTATCACACTATAAAGTCTTATGGAATAAACACAATTTAATTTGCCCCAAAATATTAGACACACCACTGTTGATCTCTTATTAGGAAGACCAACAATGCAATTTTTTTCAATGTTAAGAACTCCAATATTGACCACCCATAACAACTCTACTTTTGTAAAATAACAGACAAACCAGGTAAATGCATATGCACATCACATAGGCCAAACATAATATCTATCTGTGTCTCAACATCTCGAAGAGAAATTCGGACTCGACAAAAAACTAAACGACAAATTAACAATAGATTAAGAACAAAATCTAAAGGGAGTGGTCTTATGGTATTCACCCACAGTTCCTCAATTCAAAATACAGTATAGTACTGTCATATATTTAGAAACAATGCACAAGAGTAAAGGGGCAAAGAAAACATACCTTGAGAAAAAATTGCAATTTAATAGAAAAATTTTCAAGTTCAATCCACAATTTCCCTTGCTGTTGAAGCGATTTGCTGTTGACATGAAGGAGAAACCCTAAAATATTGTAAAAACTGGAGGGAAGCGTGACTTGCTGAAGAGAAGGTCTTATTATATCCTAAATACTAGGCTTAACGTAGTAAGGTTATTTTGGTATTTATATTATTTTACTAAGGATATTTCTGGAATGAAAAGAATGCAAAACTGCTTCTGCTTCTAGAAGCTACTTTTTTCTGCTTATTACTTTGGCTTATTGAGAAGTCCCAAATTGCATTGATTCCATAATATTAAACTAATAAGTTTCATGTTATGGACTTTATAAATGCAACGGACCAAAAATTGGTTTTGTTCCCCAAAGATAGAAACAATGAATTTTACTGAAATCTATATATTAATATAAAGGAGGGAATAAGAATGCCTATGTGGCACCTCTCTTAGGCTTGGAAAGACATTTATCTATTTTGTCAATTTTTTGCTATTTTATCTCATTTGTCTACTTTAAATATCTATTTTTTCCCTTAAGTGTAACAGTTCCAACAGTTGGCTATGTTTAAGCTTGAATTTTCTTTCAGTTTTTGCACAACATTTCGGTTACAGTTCCATACTCCATTTAACTCCCATTTTCTATTCAAATTCCTTACATAAAATTTCAGTTACACATTAAATTCTTATCTTACCCAGTCTTCTTTTATAACTGATCCATCTTCCTTTTTTGCTCATCTCCTCTCAAATTCTTTATTAATCAATTCTTTCTTCCAAAATTTCTTCCTCGACCATGGTGACCAGCATTATGTTGTCAAATTGTCATTTTTGTCTCTTTTTGTTATCCATTTCAGTTTTATAATTCTGCTTTCTTATGCCAGATTAATATCACTAGAAGGGAAAAGTTTAGGAATGTTCTTCAACAATTTATTTTTCCTTTGAGATTAATAATTTTCTTCATGAATATTAATTTTGAAGATTTCATTAGCTTTGATAGTTGGTTTACTTTTGAAATGTATGAAATATTGTTATGGAAATACTTGATGAGAAATTGATTGTTTGGTAGTAGTTATATTAAAGTTTTCTTTGATTTTGGAGCAAGAATTGTTACAATCTTAGTTCGCCCTCGTGAACCGTCGTGACGGCACCTAGTCTTTACGACTAGGTAAGCCTAACAAGTGCGTAAAATAAATAGAAAACTTGTGGAAATGTAAATTAAAAGCCAAGAATAACCAAAGGAAAGCGATATATAAAATGCCGCTCGGCATATACAGCTCAACATCTAAAAAATCCTACAACACTATCTCAAAACCCGGAAACTCACGGGAACACAAGCTGAAAGAAAAATAGTGAAGTGCTCTAACTCCAAAATGCATCAACAGTAAGATAGAAAGGCTAACATTATAGGATAGAATAAAGATAAAGATTCCTTGGTCTGTGGATGCGGCTGATGTACCTCGAAGTATCCGAAACATCTCCCTGCCTCAAGGTGATAAGCCTGGGTAAAGGTACCTGGATCTGCACATGAAAAACATGCGCAGAAAGGGCATGAGTACACCACATCGGTAGTCAGTAAGTGCCAAGCCTAACCTCGGTCGGGTAGTGACAAGGAAGGTCAGGGCTCTACTGAGGTTAAATAAAATATAAGGATTAACAGTAAAAAATAAGCAGTATAATTAAGTGCAACAGTAAGAAATAACATAGAATGGAAAGAACAACAACAACTAACACAAATACAAACAAACCATGGAAGAAATACGGCTCAACACATGAATAACAACCGGGGCACCTTCCAGGATACCGTCCTGTAGTCCCAATTACAACTATCCAGTGGATCTCCCGGGATACCGTCCCATAGTTCATCATATATATATGTCCGAAAGATCTCCCGGAATTACGTCCCGTAGTCTAACTATCAATGCGCGGGGATCTACCGGAATCCCGATCCGTAGTCTCAAATGTAAATACCCAGTACTGGGGGAATCTACCGGGTGCATTCCTGTAGTTCCATATAATTGTGCAGGGGGATCTACCGGAAATCTAACCCGTAGTCCTAAAGTAAACAGACAAGGGGGAGCTACCGGAATCCCACATCTGTAGTCCCAATGTAAATACACAAACAACAGCAAGAAAATACTCAGAAATTGGAAATTTCATATCAAGGCATCAAGAATTCTAACCTAGCATGCTGCACGGAGTTCAGGTAAAGTAGGTTGAACAAATAAGGCGATGAAATCAATTAGAAACTAACAACAGGTTCATTAGCACAAGTAATTAAAGTAGAAAAGGAAACATGCTGATAATTACTTAGTGGAAACCGGATTTTCTAACAATTTTGCACAAGTACGCACTTGTCACCTCACCTAAAAGACAATTTAATTAACAAATACACCAATTCTAAGGGGAGGGTTCCCCCACACAAGGTTAGACAAGCCACTTACCTCGAACCAGCTCAAAATCAACCCGACACCACATCTTTGCCACGAGTCCTCGACTCCAAATGGCTCAAATCTATTCAATTCAATTGCATAATGTAAATAATACTTCAAGTAACTGATTCTACGATTAAAGTCTAAGCTAATATGCAAAATTATGTAAAATGACCAAAATGCTCCTCAGGCCCACATCTCGGAATTGGTAAAATTTATATTTTCAGAATCCTCACACTCTCACGAGTCTAACCATATCAAAATTATCACAATCCAATGTCAAATACCCAATCTCTTGGTCTAAGAACGTTTCCTCCAGTTTCTACCAAAATTCCAAAATTAAAGGATGAATTTAAGTGAAGATTCATGGAAATTAGTCTAAACCGAGTAAGAATCACTTATCTAAGTTGCCCAGGTGAAAATCCCTTCAAAAATCGTGATCTCCCGAGCTCCTAAGTCCAAAATATAAATTATAGTCTAAACCCTCGATTTTAGGTTTTAAATTCTCCCAAGGATTTCCTTAATCGCGATCACGTAAGGCCAGTCGCGATCGCGAAGAGCAAAAATTCACGTGCCTCAGATAACTCTATGCGAATGCAGAACCCCGTCCGCGAACAAAATTCTCTAACTCCCTCAACCTACCTGATCGCGATTTACTCCACGCGACCGTGTAGAGAAATGATTGACCAAACTTCTGCCGTCTTATTCCTTCTTCGCGAACGCGACCTAGCCCACGCGTTCGTGATTTAACCTTCCTCATATATACGTGTTCGCATCCCATTTCACGCAAATGCGAAGGGAAAAAATCCCTCAGCCTCGCCTAAGCCTTCACGATCGCGATACTCTCCATGCGATCGCGATGAGGAGTTGTCTGCAACAGCTGAACCTGCAATTCTTCAACTTTTTAACAACTAAAATGACCCGTTGAGCATCCGAAACACACCCAAGTCCCCCGGGACCTCAACCAAAGGCACCAACATATCCTAAAACCTCATTCAAACTTGTACCAATCTACAAAACACTACAAACAACATCAAATTCTCCAAAACACATCAGATTCAAGCTTAAGTTTCTAAATCTTCCGAATTCTGGTTTTGATAAAAAACCCAACCAAACTACCTCCGAATGACCTGGAAGTTTGCACACACGTCTCAAATGACATGACGGAGCTACTGCAACTCTCGGAATTCCATTCCGAACCTCGGATCAAAATCTCACTATCGAACCAAAAACTTCCAAAATTTCAACTTTCGACATTTCAAGCCTAAATTAGCTACGGACCTCCAAAACACAATCCGAACACGCACATAACCCCAAAATCACCCAACAGAGCTAACAGAACCATCAGATTTCCATTCCGAGGCCGTCTTCCTACTGTTCCGACTACGGTCAACTTTCTAATACTTAAGCTCTCATTTAGGGACTAAGTGTCCCAAAACTCTCCGAAACTCAAAACCGAACATCCCGGCAAATCAAATTAGCAGAAATAAACTTGGGGAAAATAGTTAACAGGAGATCGGGGCGTTAATTCTTAAGACGACCGGCTGGGTCGTCACATCCTCCTACACTTAAACATTCGTTCGTCCTCGAATGCGCATACAGACATACCTGAAGTAGTGAAGAGATGAGGGTAACGACTACGCATATCCTGCTCGGTCTCCCAGGTTGCCTCCTCGACCGGCTGACCCTGCCACTGGACTTTTACTAATCCAATATTCTTTGACCTCAACTTTCTGACCTGTCTGTCCAATATAGCCACTGGCTCCTCAACATAAGATAGATCCTTGTCCAACTGGATTGAACTGAAATCCAACACGTGTGACGGATCACCGCGATACCTCCGGAGCATCGAAACATGAAATACTGGATGAACCCCTGCCAAGCTGGGATAAAAGGCAACCTCCCCAACACGCCTCAATATCTCGAAAGGGCCAATAAACCTCGGACTTAACTTCCCTTTCTTCCCAAATCTCATAACGCCCTTCATAAGCAAAACCCGAAGCAGAACCCTTTCACCAACCATATAGGAAACATCACAAACCTTTCAGTCCGCATAGCTCTTCTGTCTGGACTGGGTTGTACGGAGTCTATCCTGAATCACCTTAACATTCTCCAAAGCATTCTGAACCAAATTTGTACCTAACAGTCTAGCCTCACCCGGCTCAAACCAACCCACCGAAGATCTACACTGCCTACCCTATAAAGCCTCATACAGTACCATCTGAATGATCGACTGGTAGCTGTTGTTGTAAGTGTGAGCACATAATTTTTGATAATATTTAATTTTTTTATCACTTTTTCTATGTAAATATTTTAGGGGTTTTAACCTACATTTTTTAGCTTTGTTACACTTTTTATTATAGGGTAAAAATACAAAATTTAAAAGGTGAATTATTACTATTAATATTATTTTATTTTTATTCTTATTTTTAAAATAATAATAAAAAATTCCGAAAAAATATTAATTTTTTTAATTTTCGGGAGTGATTTAAAAAATAAGAAAAAGGAAAGTATTGAATAAAAAAAATAAAAGTAAAAGTAGGTGAAATTCTCTTTTAAAAAGTAAAAGAAAGTAGAAAATTAAAAAAATAAAAGTAAAGTTTTGTGGAAATTTTAAAAAAATAAAAAGTAAAAGAAAGTTGGAATTAAAAAACAAATATAAAGGTATCTAAAAATTAAAAAAAATTTAAAGTAAAAGAAAGTAGCA